TTACTAACAAAACCCTGTGTAAGGCATCGGGAAGCCCAGTGCCAGAGGAGAAACTGGTCCTCCCACCCATCTGTGCCAGTGCCCAGTCTTAGGGTGGGTAGGTGGCCCAGCACTATCGGGGAGATACAAGAACGAGTCTCTTTGGGCCACTGAAGAACATTCCTGTCTGATAAGAGCACAATGAAGAGAAAGTTCTTCGACGGTCTACTTTGTCTCGGGCTTGGCTTTGAACGCTGTCATGTGAAGAAATGATGCTGAGCTGAAGCAGCTATTTTGTAACACTGAGGATGGCAGAACAAATGGATCTAAGAAAATCTTGAGGTTTTGGCTACCACCCAACTCTGCAACCACCCATCTCCAGACTTCTTGTTACAGGAGATAATTAAACATCCTTATTGCTTACATCACTGTCAGTCTAGTTTCCTGTTACTTGTGCTGACCACATCCTGATAGAAGCACTTTTCTGTCTGGCACCAAATGAATATTTAAGTCCACTGTAATTGAAAAGCAACTCTATTAGAAAGCTACTGTTATCTCATTTCTATAGAAAATAAATAAAACTGAGCTTAGGCAAGGTGTAATTTTCCGCAAAGTGACTGGTGGAGGTGAATTTAAGCCTAATCTTGGCTCAAAAGCCCATGTCTGTCACTTAACCATATAGTTAAAAAATAATCGAGCCTATAGTTCTCTCTTTTGGTATCTTAAGAAAATGCATACAAACAGATGCAGGTAGTAATACATTTGGACCCATTTGCACTCATGTATGAACGTGGCTTCAGGCTTTTTACTCCCATTTGCATTGATTTGTTGGTAGAAATGTATATGCTTCAGAGGCTCAGCCGAGAAACCAGAATGGCCTTGTCTTTCTTCCACACTTTTACTAATGACATCCAGACTGTGTATCAAGAAAACAGAGACAGGTCATGGGGACTTTGATGCAGCGTCCTAACATTCAACCCCCAAGATACTTGAAATGGTGAACTTGAAAGTGGTACATGCTCCTCCTCGAGCTTTCTTGCAAGAGTCAAAGAACTAAAGACTGAATAACACCAAACATCTAACAAGGCAGAGCCTTCCAGTTAGCCCAGAAAAGCAGAAGAATGTTTTTGAGGCACAGAAATAGAAAAGAGAGGATTGCAATTATATTGCATAGTACGTTAACTATCTAAAAGAAAGCACTGAAGACCAGGGAACAAAAAGCAGTTGGCTCCTCATAGCTCAGCCTTGGACCAAACAGGACTTCCACGTAAATGTCTCCGAGGAACCGTTCCGCTCCAATCCTCTGCAGTGAGAAGAGAACAGAACAACACTACCCGACAGAGCTCCTGTGCACCGCCCCCCGCCATGGCTGCTTGGCTAAGCGGCTTGAGAGGCTCAGTGTAGGAAAAACCCTAGCCATGACAGAAGGAAGATGAGACTAAACGGAGGCAAGCTCACAGAAAAGGGAGCTGTGATTTCGGAATCTAATGACCACAAACACTAC